AAGACATAAGGAATTGATGTTAGAAATAAAAGAGTGATTCCTATTGACCCCATGAACATTAAAAGGTTAATAAAGGAATATCATGAACGCCATATTCACAAATATGACAACCCAGATGAAATGGATCAATTCCTTGAAAGACACAATCTGCCAAAGTTTTCAAAGGACAAATAGATAATCTGAACAATCCTACATCTATTAAAGAAACTAGCCAATAATTAACCTTCTAAAACAGAAAGCACTAGGCCCAAATGGGTTTATTGGCAAATTCTAACCAACATTTAAGGAAGAAATTATACCAATTCTCTATAATCTCTTCCAGAAGACAGAAGCAGAGGGAGTACTTCCTAACTAATGAGCCCAGCATTTCCCTGACACCAAAACCAGATAAAGATATTGCAATAAAGAAATACTACAGACCAATATTTCTCACGAACACAGATACAAAAATAGTCATATTTTAGCAAATACAATCCAATAAAGTATAAAAATAATTACACATCACAACTAAGTGGGATTTATTCCAGAAATGAAAGGCTAGTTCAACATTTGAAATCTATCACATCAACACCTAAGAATCATATGATCATATCAATAGATCCAGAAAAAGTATTTGGTAAAATCCAACACCCATTTATGACTAATGAAAAACAAAACAAAAAGCTCTCAGCAATCTAGAAATAGATACCTCAACTTGATAAAAAACATGCACAAGAAGTGAATAGCTAATTTCATACTTAATGACAAACTATACAGATGCTTTCCCCCTAAGATCAGGAAAAGACAAGAAAAGCCTCTCTCATCATTTCTATTCAACATTGTGCTAAGAAAAAGTCCTGGATAATGCAACAAAACAAGAAAAGGAAATAAAAATTATATACAGACTGGGAAAAAAGGAGAGAAAACTGTCTTTGTCTGCAGATGACAGGATTGTTTATTGGAAAACCCCAAATAATCAACAACAAAAATAACAACAACAAAATATCTTCTGGAACTAATAAATGTTGATACAAAGGTTACAGGATATAAGACAAATATACAAAAGTCAATCATTTTCCTATGTACTAGAAGTGTACTAAAATTTGAAATTAAAAACACAATACTATTACATAAATACCAAAAAGAATAAAATAGTTAAAAATTTAATGAAATATGTACCAGATCTACATGAGAAAAAATATAACTCTGATCAAAGAAATCCAAGAAGATTTAAATAAATGGAGTTATTCCACGTACATGAACAGGAAGACTTAATATTCCACGTACATGAACAACTTGATCTATAGACTTAATGCAATCTCTGTCAAAATCTGAAGTAACTTTGTGGCTATCAACAGAACAATTCTAAAGTTTATATGGAACGGCTAAGGACCCAGACCAGTCAACCCAATATTGAAGGAGAACAAAATCAGAGCACTGATGTGACCTGACTTTGAGACTTATTATAAAGCCAGAGTTAACTAAGACAACATGGTATTGGCAAAAGAATAGATGAATAGGTCAATTAAACAGAATAGGGTCCATAAATAGACCCACGTTAATATGACTAATTAATTAATACTGGCTCAACTCAGGATTTTTTGACTTTACAATGGTACAAAGTCAAAAAGTGATATGCACTAAGTAGAAACTGTAATTTGAGTACTCAAACAATAGTTTTTCACTCTCAATACCATATTTAATAAATCATGAGATATACAATACTTTGTTATAAAATAGGCTTTGTGTTAGGTGATTTTGCCCAACTGTAAGAAAATGTAAATGTTCTGAGCAGGTTTAAAGTAGGTTTGGCTAAGCTATAATTTTTTTTTGTATTGTCAATTTATGATA